TTCATTTACAGTTGATCCCATTACCTTGCCGTTCATGATCGCAAAACTTGCCTTCAAGTCAGCTGGCTAAAAAATGTTTGGCACTATTTACCCTTTACTGCCCCAATCTTCCGAAAACAGGCCAGTTGGACCGACTTTTTTCTGCGTTGGCAGAATTGGCTGAAAATTTGTTCCTGGGGTAGTTTGACCTCCTGAACACGAATATCACATCCGCTCAGCCTGAAACCTCCTGCAGCCCGCGCTACAGGCGCTGGCGCCAAAACACCCCAAATCACCGGCGCCTGTGGCGCGGGCGCCAGGAAGTTTCGGGCTAAGCGAATGTCATATTCGTATTCAGGAGGTCAAAATACCCCAGGAGACAACATTTGAGCCAAATCTGTCCACGGAGAAAAAAGTCGGTCAGAAAAAAGATTCTGGATGGTTGGGGCAGTAAAGGGTAAATAGTACCAAATGTTTCGCTAGTTTTCAAGCTTCACCGCAATGTAGTTCTCCAATACTACACTACAGAAATCACGGATTCCAAAAGAACTGGCTACAAGTGCGGGTGTGCAAGTTACTTTTCTCCGCGCTCGACACAGGCACTGACTGGTCCTGGGGAAGTCTAATCGAGGGCCCGTAATTCACCACCTCCACGCCTGACCCTAGTCTATCCTGTGTTGCTTGGTTTGGGAAACCCTCATCATCACTGACTTAAATTTCTCTTTGTAGAATTGATCGCGGCTACGATTTTACCGGAGTTCTGGAATGGTTCGCTGAACGTGTGGATCGTATCATCCTTCTGTTCGATGCTCACAAACTTGATATTTCGGACGAATTCAAGCGATGCATTGAAGCTCTCAGTGGTATATTCTGTTTTTGGTTCATTTTATTGTTGTTGGTTGAATACTTCGTAATACTCTATATAAGCCGCTATTTTCTGTGAGCCTATGTGTGGTTCATTTTGTTTGTTTTACCGCCACAAACCCATAAACCAAAATTTCAATAGGAAAGCTTGCACTACGTCCGTTTGAAGATTCATTCTCAATTTTTTTTTCTGCAGAAATGGAGAGAGGGTCGTATTGACCCCTATTGGGGGTCGTACACGAGAACCATTTTTCCTCAGCATGATGCTCGACCCTGGTGGGTGTAAATTCTGTCCCTGAAAAAAAAAACGTTTGCGTAAGGGTCACCATTTGATGCGCGCTAGGTAAAAATGGAACTTGGTAGTTCTTTGTGGAAATTCAAAGTTGTCCTCGTGATCCCTGCAAACGATAGGGCGTGGACTCTAACGCAGCTAGGCGGCCTTGTCCACCAATGATACACCTAAGTCCGCAACGGTTTGACGGGACTAATTGCTCTTGCTGCGCTTCAAGTCACGCCCTCCACCGCCCTATCGTTTACAGCTATGATCATGATTATAATAGCTGCTTTGAAGACCGGCGCTTTTTTTTCAGGAAATGAGGACAAAATCCGTATTGTTTTGAATAAGTCTGACATGGTAGATCATCAGCAGTTGATGCGTGTCTATGGTGCATTGATGTGGTCACTTGGAAAAGTTAGTTTCACATTTCGAATTTAGTCCAGCGCTATAACAATAAGGTGGGGCATTCAATGCTGGAAGTAGTTGCGAGGTAACGATTCTGAGCCAGCGTAGATGAAGTTTTTACTAGACAAAGAGCTCCGCATGAACTTCTCTGCATAAAATGCCCTACATTACTGCAGTAGCACGCTCGGTTATCATAGAATTGC